CACACACACACACACACACACACACACACACACACACACACACACACACACCCACACACACACACACCAGTAACACTTAGGTAGCATCTGACACTGACTCACCAGATATTTCTAAATGCTGGAACTTATTTTGAACCTGTTTCCGTCATCATGATGCACTTTCACATGAAGTCATGAAACATTACTCACTTCCTGTCTCACTCTCTGAAGGGAACGTGCTGATGGTCAGGTATATCAGTATGTAGTGTCTCTAGTTTAAAGAGTCCTCTCCTGTTGATGTTCAGGTGTATATCAGTATATAGTGTCTCTACTTTAAAGAGTCCTCTCCTGCTGATGTTCAGGTGTATATCAGTATGTAGTGTCTCTACTTTAAAGAGTCCTCTCCTGTTGATGTTCAGGTGTATATCAGTATGTGGTGTCTCTACTTTAAAGAGTCCTCTCCTGCTGATGTTCAGGTGTATATCAGTATGTAGTGTCTCTACTTTAAAGAGTCCTCTCCTGCTGATGTTCAGGTGTATATCAGTATGTAGTGTCTCTACTTTAAAGAGTCCTCTCCTGCTGATGTTCAGGTGTATATCAGTTTGTAGTGTCTCTACTTTAAAGAGTCCTCTCCTGCTGATGTTCAGGTGTATATCAGTATGTAGTGTCTCTACTTTAAAGAGTCCTCTCCTGCTGATGTTCAGGTGTATATCAGTATGTAGTGTCTCTACTTTAAAAGAGTCCTCTCCTGCTGATGTTCAGGTGTATATCAGTATGTAGTGTCTCTACTATAAGAGTCCTCTCCTGCTGATGTTCAGGTGTATATCAGTATGTAGCGTCTCTACTTTAAAGAGTCCTCTCCTGCTGATGTTCAGGTGTATATCAGTATGTAGTGTCTCTACTTTAAAGAGTCCTCTCCTGCTGATGTTCAGGTGTATATCAGTATGTAGCGTCTCTACTTTAAAGAGTCCTCTCCTGCTGATGTTCAGGTGTATATCAGTATGTAGTGTCTCTACTTTAAAGAGTCCTCTCCTGCTGATGTTCAGGTGTATATCAGTATATAGTGTCTCTACTTTAAAGAGTCCTCTCCTGCTGATGTTCAGGTGTATATCAGTATGTAGTGTCTCTACTTTAAAGAGTCCTCTCCTGCTGATGTTCAGGTGTATTGTCTCTACTTTAAAGAGTCCTCTCTTGCTGATGTTCAGGTGTATATCAGTATGTAGTGTCTCTACTTTAAAGAGTCCTCTCCTGCTGATGTTCAGGTGTATATCAGTATGTAGTGTCTCTACTTTAAAGAGTCCTCTCCTGCTGATATTCAGGTGTATATCAGTATGTAGTGTCTCCACTTTAAAGAGTCCTCTCCTGCTGATGTTCAGGTGTATTGTCTCTACTTTAAAGAGTCCTCTCTTGCTGATGTTCAGGTGTATATCAGTATGTAGTGTCTCTACTTTAAAGAGTCCTCTCCTGCTGATGTTCAGGTGTATATCAGTATGTAGTGTCTCCACTTTAAAGAGTCCTCTCCTGCTGATGTTCAGGTGTATTGTCTCCACTTTAAAGAGTCCTCTCCTGCTGATATTCAGGTGAATATCAGTATGTAGTGTCTCCACTTTAAAGAGTCCTCTCCTGCTGATGTTCAGGTGTATATCAGTTTGTAGTGTCTCTACTTTAAAGAGTCCTCTCCTGATGATGTTCAGGTGTATATCAGTATGTAGTGTCTCTACTTTAAAGAGTCCTCTCCTGCTGATGTTCAGGTGTATATCAGTATGTCGTGTCTCTACTTTAAAGAGTCCTCTCCTGCTGATGTTCAGGTGTATATCAGTATGTAGTGTCTCTACTTTAAAGAGTCCTCTCCTGCTGATGTTCAGGTGTATATCAGTGTGTAGCGTCTCTACTTTAAAGAGTCCTCTCCTGCTGATGTTCAGGTGTATATCAGTATGTAGTGTCTCTACTTTAAAGAGTCCTCTCCTGCTGATGTTCAGGTGTATATCAGTATGTAGTGTCTCTACTTTAAAGAGTCCTCTCCTGCTGATGTTCAGGTGTATATCAGTATGTCGTGTCTCTACTTTAAAGAGTCCTCTCCTGCTGATGTTCAGGTGTATATCAGTATGTAGTGTCTCTACTTTAAAGAGTCCTCTCCTGCTGATGTTCAGGTATATCAGTATGTAGTGTCTCTACTTTAAAGAGTCCTCTCCTGCTGATGTTCAGGTGTATATCAGTATGTAGTGTCTCTACTTTAAAGAGTCCTCTCCTGCTGATGTTCAGGTGTATATCAGTATGTAGTGTCTCTACTTTAAAGAGTCCTCTCCTGCTGATGTTCAGGTGTATATCAGTATGTAGTGTCTCTACTTTAAAGAGTCCTCTCCTGCTGATGTTCAGGTGTATATCAGTATGTCGTGTCTCTACTTTAAAGAGTCCTCTCCTGCTGATGTTCAGGTGTATATCAGTATGTCGTGTCTCTACTTTAAAGAGTCCTCTCCTGCTGATGTTCAGGTATATCAGTATGTAGTGTCTCTACTTTAAAGAGTCCTCTCCTGCTGATGTTCAGGTATATCAATATGTAGTCTCTCTACTTTAAAGAGTCCTCTCCGCGGTGGGCCTGTTCTCATCACACAGCACTCCCCTATCCTGCGGCCTGCCCCAGGGTTCTGTTTTAGCCCCCCTTCTTTTTGCCCTGTACATGCTCCCATTGGGCTGCATAATTAGCCAATTTGAGGGTGTCTCGTATCATTGTTATGCAGATGATATCCAGATATATTTCTCTTTCAAACCCGTCAAAATGGAAATTGTAAACACTCTCATCACATGTCTGTCTGCAATTGAGGATTGGATGTCAAGCAACTTCCTACAGCTCAATGCTTCAAAAACAGAAGTCTTGATCTCAGCGGTTGATAACATCGCCTCTAAGGTAGCAAGCCACCTGGGTTCATTTAGTGGTAACGTTAGGGCAAACGTAAAAAACCTTGGTGTAACTTTCGATCAGTCTATGCTAATAGACAAACACATCGAACTCCTGACCCGTACCTGTTTGTTCCACCTCAGGAACATTGCCAAGCTCAGGGGCTTTCTATCCAATGCAGAACTGGAGATGGCTATCCATGCCTTTATTTCATCCCGGCTTGATTACTGTAATGCTCTGTTCTCCTGCCTCAACAAAAACATCAATAAACCGGCTACAACAGGTCCAAAATGCTGCAGCCAGGTTACTCACTCGGTCCAAAAAAACATGCCACATCACTCCGATCCTTTCTGTCCTGCACTGGCTCCCTGTCCATCTCAGAACCCAATGTAAGGTATTGGTTTACACATATAGAGCTGTCCATGGCCAAGCCCCCGCCTACATTAATGAACTGATCCTCCCTCATAGCACAACCCGGGCCCTGAGGTCCTCTGAGCAAGGCCTCTTAAGGGTGCCCCGAACCAGGCTAAAAACAAAGGGGGACCTTGCCTTTGAGGCGGTGGCTCCAAGGCTCTGGAACAAACTCCCCCAGACACTAAGAGCCTGTGCCTCAGTGGAGATTTTTAAGGGGCAGTTAAAGACCCACCTCTTCCGTCAGGCCTTTGGGGCATCGGAGGAGGAGGTGAGTTAGTAGCTGTCTTTTATTGGTGTTTTATCGCATGTTTTATCCTATGTATTACCTGCTGTTGTTTTATGCCTTTTTATGCCTTTTATTCTACATTTTAGTTGTACTGTGAATTGTGTACTGTACTGTAAAGCACTTTGTACATTCGTGTTGAGAAGGGTGCTATATAAATAAAGTTTTACTTACTTACTTACTCTCCTGCTGATGTTCAGGTGTATATCAGTATGTAGTGTCTCTACTTTAAAGAGTCCTCTCCTGCTGATGTTCAGGTGTATATCAGTATGTAGTGTCTCTACTTTAAAGAGTCCTCTCCTGCTGATGTTCAGGTGTATATCAGTATGTAGTGTCTCTACTTTAAGAGTCCTCTCCTGCTGATGTTCAGGTGTATATCAGTATGTAGTGTCTCTACTTTAAAGAGTCCTCTCCTGCTGATGTTCAGGTGTATATCAGTATGTAGTGTCTCTACTTTAAAGAGTCCTCTCCTGCTGATGTTCAGGTGTATATCAGTATGTAGTGTCTCTACTTTAAAGAGTCCTCTCCTGCTGATGTTCAGGTGTATATCAGTATGTAGTGTCTCTACTTTAAAGAGTCCTCTCCTGCTGATGTTCAGGTGTATATCAGTATGTAGCGTCTCTACTTTAAAGAGTCCTCTCCTGCTGATGTTCAGGTGTATATCAGTATGTAGCGTCTCTACTTTAAAGAGTCCTCTCCTGCTGATGTTCAGGTGTATATCAGTATGTAGCGTCTCTACTTTAAAGAGTCCTCTCCTGCTGATGTTCAGGTGTATATCAGTATGTAGTGTCTCTACTTTAAAGAGTCCTCTCCTGCTGATGTTCAGGTGTATATCAGTATGTAGTGTCTCTACTTTAAAGAGTCCTCTCCTGCTGATGGTCAGGTGTATATCAGCATGTAGTGTCTCTACTTTAAAGAGTCCTCTCCTGCTGATGTTCAGGTGTATATCAGTATGTAGTGTCTCTACTTTAAAGAGTCCTCTCCTGCTGATGTTCAGGTGTATATCAGTATGTAGTGTCTCTACTTTAAAGAGTCCTCTCCTGCTGATGTTCAGGTGTATATCAGTATATAGTGTCTCTACTTTAAAGAGTCCTCTCCTGCTGATGTTCAGGTGTATATCAGTATGTAGTGTCTCTACTTTAAAGAGTCCTCTCCTGCTGATGTTCAG